AAAGAACAAAGTTGCACTTACAGCAAGTATCTGCATCATGAATTGAAACAGCCACAATGAAACCATCACAAGCAGTTCAAGAAAACAAATTTCAGAGGTCCCCAGATTACACACATCTACAAACCATACCAAACTAGCATCAACTATACCGCGTAAGCAGCAATAAGTACACAATGTGTCGTCACGCATATCATCTCGGAGATCTCCTACAACAACTCAGCCTTACGGCTTACAACAACTTAGTCTTACGGCCTACAACAACTCAGCCTTACGGCCTACAACAACTCAGCCTTAAACATCTAGTACGGCTCATCATCACAATTCTACATCCTCAACTATAATCAACACACCATGTTCATCAATTTCAGCTCAATTCGGCATAAAACAACAATTTACAACATCTATCAGCATATAGTAAAACATCACCTCCGCGCCCGGCGCAATCCTGGTCGCGCCCAGCGTGGCACAACCAGAGAGCACCAGGGGCCATCGCGCCCGACGCAAGCATACCCGTGCCCGGCAGGACCATCCAGAGAGCCCAAGGCTCACCCGCGCCTGACGCAATACCAATTGCGCCCAGCGCATGCTAGGCAGAGACTCCATGGATTCTCACGCGCCCAGCGTGCCTAGACCCGCAGCCAGCGTGGGGAAGGCAGAGACCTCCCTTGGTCTCGCACCCAGCGCAATTCAAATTGTGCCCAGCGCCCTCAAGGCAGAGACTCCCAAGGAGTCTCACGCCCATCGCGACAAGGGTCGCGCTCAGCGCAGAATCAAAAAGCCCAAAACAGGTTACAACTGGTATCGCGCCCAGCGCGGTCCAAGTCACGCCCAGCGCGGACCAACTAGAGACTCACATTCTCAAGCGCGCCCGGCGCACCCATCATTGAGCCCAGCGGGCTTGCCTAAATGGAGTCACCTGGTGGCCACGCGCCCGGCGCGAAGAATGGCGCTCAGCGCGAAGCTCAGCAGCAACTTCACCAAGTTCAAAAGTTTGCCCAAAACCTGCAAAAACCCACAAAAAATCCACATGCAAACGGTTCAAAGTACCACAGTTTCATCCAAGAGTCCAAAAACACCACCTTTTTACACATGCAACAACAAAACAAGAAAAACCCCAAATTTCTCTCATAACCCCAACAACTAGGGGTGGCAAAACGGGCCATCCCGCCCCGTTTTGGCCCGCCCCGCCAATGGCCCGCCAAAAACGGGCCGGGCCGGGCTGGCCCGCCAAGGAAAAACGGGCTGAAAATGCTGGTCCGCCCCGCCTAAGAATGGGTTGGCAGGCCGGCCCCAAAAAATATTTTGTAAAAAAATGGAAAAAAATTTATTTTTTATTTTAAATAAAAAAAATGGAAAAAAAATTATAAAAAAAAGGAATCATTGCTTGTTACCATAAGTACCAGGAGGCACACATAACATAAGCACTTGTGCAGTGGCCCGCATTCTACAGTTAATTTTATGCATTCACCAACATGTACCAATATTAATTTCATTTACTTAAGAAAAATGTTAAAAATGACAACTAGTGAATTGATTTAGGTTTTGGCTGTGGCTGGAAATGGGCTCTATTGGGCCTATTTTTTTTTTTATTAAGCCTATTATTTATACTAGCTCAATCACTAAATCAATAAATTACCTATGCGAGCTTGGCGGGTTGGGACGGGCCAGCCCGCTATTTGGCCCGCCGGGTTGGCGGGCTTGGCGGGTTAGCGGGCTAAAATGCTGGGCCCAGCCCGCCAATTTTTGGTGGGCCAGCGGGCCAGCCCGCGGGCCACGACCCATTTTGCCATCCCTACCAACAACCCCAAAAACTCCATTTCAGCAATCTCAACCAAGAATCATTCATCAACAACCAGCTAATGAGTTCCTGAGACTCATTCTCAACCAAACACGACAACCAAAACTAGCTTCCCTTACCTCGGTGGAGAATCCGAGCTCCGGGAAAAAACCAAAGAGAAAACGAAGTGAGCTTGAACGAACGAGAAAGAAGAAGGGAGAAATCCAACACCAGCTAGCAGCCCAATTCACTCAGCTCCACCACCTTGTAGCAGCCACAAGAAAGATCCGAGGAAAAGAGTGAAAAATTGAGGGTGAGATGAGTAAAGAGAAATGAGAGTTAGAGTATGAGTGAGGGAGGAAATGAGAAAAGAAAGGTGGGGGTCTCACATTTATTTTTTTATTTTTCTTACTTTTATTTCTTGTTCTAACACAAAATGATCTATTGGATATTAAATTAATTATTAAAGTTGAAAATATTTAAGAATAGATTTAATAATGATTTGTTTCATTTAAAGCGGGAATGTGGAATTATAACCAAAAAAAATTAGGAGTTATAACCATTTACTAAAAACTCAACTCTTAAGATTTGAATAACTGTATAATTTATTATTATTATTATTATTATTATTATTATTATTATTATTATTATTATTATTATTATATATACAAAATTCGTTTTAACAACCTTTATGTTATGTGAAAAGAAATTAGTCACTCAGATTAAGAGATATCATAGTTTAAAAAAGAGTGTAAAATGGTGAATTGTAATTATTAATTAAAAAATAAATGTTTAAAGTTTTACTTATATATAAAGTTTTGAATAAGTTAAATTTAAAGTTTGATTCGACTTTTACACCACTAATTTTCAGACTTTATCGACATAAAAAAATTGTCAAAAATCAATATTCCATTTTTAGTATCAGGTTGTTTTTGTATTTATTCTTCCCCGTTCAGATGAAAGTGTGATATTCACAGCAAGCTTTACAAAACATAAGTATTGATATGATTCCGAAAATTGAATAAATTAACTTTGGGCCGCAAAAATAAACTAGAAAGCATCCACACAGTAAAGAAATATAAGCACGCAAAAAATCAAATCAATGTGACAGTTTACCTTTACACATTACACAAGTTGAAAAGCGTGTGAATGGGGCTCACAGCAACGCACCATGATCTTTTCAATTCCATGCCAAAGCAGAATGAAAGGTGAAAAACAAGAAAATCAAAAGCTAGAGAATCAATACAGATTAAAAATATAAAATATAAAATAAAAAATTAGTGCACTAAATTAATAAAATATAATTCGTATCTCATGGGTTAATTGCACGTTTACTTTTAAATACATGTGAATTGTACAAAATAGACAATTGATACACTCAAGCTAGCTAATTATGAATATTGAGATAATTATATTTATCAAGGCAAATTTCTAGTTTACATATATTAATGTAACTGCAAATTCATTTAACCATCGTGATTTGTGGTGAGGCTGAGTAGTTTTCAATCGCTACAGATCGAGAAAAAAAAAATCCAAATTCATTTGTGATATTTTGCTTACAATTTTCTTCTTAAATGATACAATTGCAATTTGTTTTAATCGTAAATTTTAAATTGAACTCCTAAAACTGACCTAATAGCAGAGGTTGAAGTAGCATATATATTCAAAATTTATAGTTATCATTGTATTTTTTTTATTAATAAAAAAACATAAGTTTTAAACTTGGTGCGTAAAGTCATATCATGTTATACTTATTTGAATAAATAATTTAAGGGAAATACTATTTAGTAAGACCTGAATTTTTTGTATATATATATATATATATGAGGCGAGTTATAATTATAACGGTGTAATTTTTACTAAGTATTACACCACTCAATAACTTTATATTAATTATGAATTTTGTAAATCCAACTGTCAGATTGAAAGTTCATATGACTATATACGTGTATATCAAATTTTGTTAAAATTAAACAATAACTTGAAAGTAATCAAAGTGTTCATATTTTAGTGTATTTTGAAATGAATATATTACGTCAATTTTGTTTTATAAAAATGAAGTATCAAATCATCTTGGATTAATATAAAATTTTGTATATATGATCTAAGAGATATGAACTTTCAATCTGACAGTTGGATTTACAAAATTCATAATTAATATAAAGTTATTGAGTGGTGTAATACTTAGTAAAAATTACACCGGTGTAATTATAATCTCCCTATATATATATATAACCTAAAATTTGAAATTAGAATGTTTCGTATTATTACTGTTCTTACTAAAGTCTCTTTAGAAGCATTCATATATAATATATTTAGACTTCTGATGTGTTTGGTTACAAACTAAAGTATTTTAAGAATTTTTTTTTATAAAAAATGGTTATTTTAAAAAAATCTCAAAAACACTTCTAAAATATATAAAAACATATTTATATTTTTTATTCTAAATAGAAAATTTGTATATTTGTTCTCTCGGGATCAAATTAGATTTCTATAGAGAAAATCTTAACATAAGTTATTAATGAATTCTCATACCTTAAAGTTTCTTGATACTAAATAACAATCTTCACAACATGTAATTAAATAAAATCTATAATATTCTAAGATTCACAATGTTACCGGGAATGGAAAAGAAAAGAAGGGATTGTAAGATGTGATAAATCTCACCACAATTTGTGTGAGGCAATCAAATATGATTTAAAGGAAAAAGATTACAATGTAAAACAGGAAATTACATCATAATAATGAGAGAATAAATGGTAGGATATTAGTCCTCATAACTAGCTCTTAACACCCCCCGTCAAGCTAAGCGTTGGATTGAGACCAACACGAAGCTTGGATCGAAACAATTCAAACAACGGATGAGGCAATGCCTTTGTAAAAATATCAGCAAGTTGTAAAGAAGTAGGAACATGGCGAACAGTCAAGCGACCAGAGGCAACTAACTCACAGATGAAGTGACAATCCAAATCAATATGCTTAGCATGCTTATGAGCGACAGGATTCTGAGCCATAAACAATGCACTTTGATTATCACTGAGAATGAGAGGAGTCGCAGACAACCCAACACGAAGTTCACGAAAGAGATTGAGCAACCAAACAAGTTCAGAAGCTGTGTTGGCCATGGC